TTACTGGGACGCAAAACCTTAAATTAGAGTGAATAAATGAAGACTCGGCACACCAGTTCTGAAAGGTTGCTGACCCCTGCCATAGAGTGTAGTGAGCTTTACTGGTGTACGGCAATGTCATCTATAACTCCCTGGTCCAGCCAGAGTGAAGCTATCCTGTTTTATTTTTTGAAAGATTAACTTATTTATTTATAAATCTTTTTTCCCCAAAGCAGATTGACAATAAGATCCAGCTAGTTGTAACAGAAAAAATAAACATTATTTAAAAGTCAGACTTTGAGTCTAAAAACTATCTTTGTTGCTGAAAAGACAGCTGGGGTGTTCTCTGTCAGGTGTGATGAAAACCCAGTGCGAGTACTGGTACTCTCAACGTAAATTGGGTCTTAGTGAACAGAGAAATCACCACCACCAAGAGCAGAGATCTCTTGATTTACTCACTGTTTCCTTCCAGCAAAAAATTTACGAGGGACAAGGAAGATATCTGCTGAACCTCCATGTCACTGGACTGCAGTAAAGCATAATAGGATTCCAAATGCTCAGCAGGCAGATGGGTGCTCACTGTAGAAATGAGAAGAAATAATGAACAAGTCTCTCCACTTTGTCATTTCTTCATGTATCTTCAGGCTGAGGTGCTACCATAGTCAAATATTATGCATTTATATTCCAGTCTCAGTAAGGCGATCAGGCCAAGCTGTTCACTATCACTTTAATAATCAGATATTTTAGAAATATTATTGGCCAAACGTGGGGAAGGGGGGGAAAAACAGAAATTACTTTTAAGTCTAGCTACCAAACAAGTCTTTCTGCCCCATATCAGATCCTAGGTTGGATGACTATGTGTGCTTTTCAGCAGTAAGAAACATATGATGTAAAGACATCAGGCCAAATTCTCTACTGATGTAACTTTATTGGAATCAAGGGAATTGCACATGTGTAGCCAAGGGGAGAATTTGACGCATTTTCTGATGTACAAACCGTTGAATACTCATCTTATATAAAAAATATTTACTCACTGTTCCCCTCCACTGTCCCTACTTTGTCTGTTACCTCTCAGATAGCTTCCCTCCCCATATTTTTAAAGCACAACTCAAAATCCCGAATCCTTTCACATCAAGTCTGATGTGAGAAACCTCAATATCCAACTTCCAGCTGGACAGTCTTTGCTAGACAGTTGTGTACTGACTCCTGCTCCCTGTTAACGGACCATCTGAAAAACTTTCATTGAAGAGACATTGCAAGTTGTCATCTCCTGGCGTTCCACAGTATAGCCCCAATAGGACACTTCCTCTGCTGTCTCTCACGATACCCTATGCTGTGTAACTTATGGGCGGTTCACAGTACACCCAATTCAAATGTAATAGGCATATCCTATAAAGGCTGTGTTGAAATTTTACAGAATTGTCATAGTTATAAAGGTGACTTTGTCTCTTATAGGCACCAGTATCATCTGCCTATAATAAAACCAGATGTCACTTGTTCCACAAGTGACTCTGCACATATAAAACTATGACAGCACTTCCTTTGCAACAAGAGATTGAAAAAAGATCTTAAATTCATTAAAGAGCTTAACAGTTTGGGGAAAATACTTTTTGTTTAGTTATATTTATGAAAATCTTCAAATGCACCAGAAGGAGCTTACTTACAGTGCTGACTCATATGCAAGTAATACAGAGCCGCAGACTGCTGTAAACCAGGGTTTTCTGAAAATGCTAAGGTCCTCAGAGCTTCCAGGGAGTCCTTTCCAAATGGTGACATTTCAAAACCTGTGGAATTTACAATGACAGCACAGATTTAGTTAATCCTGAAAAGGTTTCGTGTTCAGGAGTTCAGAATTCCCAGGGATTTAAACCAGCAGGCAACCCAAAACACATGGACTAGCATATCGGAATGGACTATAGCAAGTCTACTCTAGTGATCATATCTCCAAAAGTGGCCAGTATCAAATGCTTCAGAAGAAGATTTGGCCCTCAGTTTTTATTCAGTGAAGTCTTTCTTTGGGAGTTTTGCTCGATCAGAATCTGAAGACTGGATCACCCCCTCCTGAGGTAGAACCTCAAGAGAGAGCTAAGGAAGGGGAAAACTCCAAGTGGAATTTCCTCATGTCATTCTGTGAGGGCCGCAAGATTTAGCCACATGCAGCACGAACCACAGTTCTACTCAAACAGGTTGGCTCTTGGGAATTCATCAAAGTTGCAGAAGTACTGGGCCTCCACAGCAGCTCTAGGCCCCCTGCAGCTCTGCCCTGGCTGCCTAGCATCAAAGAAGATGCACTGCTAAGGCCTCCTCAGCAGGTGCCTGCCCCTAGGCTTCCACTTTAAGGATCCCATCCCAGAGGAAGGGGCTTCTCAAGACAGTGAATATAACTGCTTCTGAGTATATTAAATGTTCTCCTATGTTTCTACTGGGTGCTGAGAAACCCCTGGCCTACCCACTTCTCCCCACCACCTCCCAACCCTCATTCCCTGCACTTAACACACCAATGGATCCTAGGACCTGAAGACAGTCCTCTGTGACATCTAGGGGAGGTGGAAAGAATACTGCTGCAGAAATCGGTGTCCCTTCTTCTGCATGTGAAGGAGGAAATCTATGCCCGGAGGGGTCCATCTATCCAAAGATACTATCATGCTGTGAATAAAGACTTAGAATTTGGCCCATAGTTAATGTTCAATCATTAATGAACTGAATCATCAGGATAGGCCCACCTGAAGGTATGTAGAATGTGATACTAATTAAGGCTAGCATTATCTGAAGCAAATCCATGCATGTTCTAGATAAGTAGTATTGCAACAATTAATCTGAAAGATTTTTCCATGGTTAATCATCCCAGACAAGGTTATCCCCGTCACACAAAAAAACAAACAACTCTACTGGCCCCTCTGTCAAGACGTATTTATGTTGCAAAAGAGAAGAGTAGAGATAGTAGCATTTTGTGCCTTGCTAGATGCACATTAATGGAAATAGATGGCTCATATTTTATGAATGCAATACCAGCATATTTTGTATAGCCACTTTGGGATGAAGACTATAACGCAAAGCACTGTACAGAATTAAGCAACAGCACAGAGAAGGGTTGGGGCAAAGTGAGAAAGACACATTTTTATCTTGGATTTTTAAAGAGTGAGAATTAACCAAGTGGACAGATACAGGAAGGTTTTTCTTGATTGCAGGAATTGCAAAGTAAAATGTTCTCACATCATTGGTGGTGTAACTATATAGAGAGACAGAGAGGAGACCTCTGCTAGAGGAATGGAGGGATCCGGAAGCAGAGATGAGAGTTAATCAATGAAAGACAGAAAAGCCATAAGAAATTTTATACATTTTGGTAATTTTGAACTGATGAATAGGAAGCCAGTGAAGTTGTATAAGAATGATGTGGTCACACATTTTTGTACACACGAGAAGCCACACAACTGAATTTTACACATGCTGGCCTATGGAGGGATGAGCTTTCATCTAGACAGGCATAAAGAAGGGAGTTGCAATAACTATGGTAGAAAGAAAATGCTGCCAATAAAGCTGCATATTATTAATATGGGTGATAGTTAAGGTTAAAGAAAGAAATATGATGACCAATGGGGAGAAGACAGAAAGAGCAGCTAACCAAGAATTTAATTCTGTGGGATTCTACAGGGCAGGGAAGAGCCACCAGTTTTGTAAAAGTGGAATTAAGACCGGAGGGAACTAGATAGGTCTGTGTTGTTTTGTAAATGGAATGGACCACAGAGTTCAGCTCAAACAAAAAAGAAAGGTCTTCATTAGCAGGTCATTAACTACATGAAGGAAGTGGTTTCCATGCTATGACAAGAGTGAAAGTATAAAAGCCACCAATTGCAGCTAACATGAAACAGCATCAGTTCTCTCCTCCCTCCACATCCAATTTCATAGCACAAAAGTAGTGAAATTAAACCTTTCCTATCAATTCACAAGGTAGCTTCTATAAAGAGTGGCTACAGGATTGAGAGCTGAAGTAGGACTCAGGAGACCTGCGTTCATGTCCTAGCTTCACCAGTAGACTCCTTGGGACCTTGGGCAAGTCACTCTTGTCCCTGTATGCCAGTTTCCCTGTCCATATAATGGAGAGAATGGTACTTTGTAAAGCATGTTAAGATCTGAAGATGGAAAACAGTATTATAGCTCTCATAATCTAGTTTTCTATGGACATTCCCCCTTTCTTCTCTAAACTAAGAAAATTCAGTATAAACTATTTTTAATCATAAAGCCTCTAGGAGCCAGAAAATGCAAAGTTAAGAAAATACAAAATTTGCATACCAGTATTCAAAAAAGTATGTAAAATATTTTAGCTGCTAAATGCCCATGCTAATTACTGGGTATAATGTGGCTAAAATATCAGACACATTTTCAGTGGAGGGGGGAGTGGAAGAAACAGGAGAAGTGGCAGAAGCATAATGCATGCTGGTTATTCTGCACTGCTGGGTAGCTCTATAGAGAGCATTGACGCTTAGTATGCTGCTATAGCTTATGTTAAGGACTGCTCCAATCCCAGCTCCCTCCAAAAAATCAATAGATGCTGGTAACCTGAGCCATCTTTGCCCCTTCTTAGGTCAGCTGCAGTCCACAATCAAGGCTGCTACTTCTCTGGACCATCACAGATGGCCCAGCCACTACTTGTGACTCTCAGGCCTGGTCTACACTACGGGTTTAGGTCGACTTTAGCATTGAATTAAGCCTGGACACGTCCACACGACGAAGCCCTTTCTTTCGACTTAAAGGGTCCTTTAAACCGGTTTCTTTA